GGCTGGAGAGCAGCTCTGAGGAGAAGGACTTGGGGTGGGAGGAGATGAGAAGCTGGACATGAGCCCCAGAGAGGGCTGGAGCCCAGAGACCAATTGTGTCCTGGGCTGCATCCAAAGAAGTGTGGCCAGCAGGGCCAGGGGGGATCCTGCCCCTCTGCTCTGCTCTGGGCAGACCCCACCTGGAGTAATTTGTCCAGCTCTGGAGCCCTCAGCACAGGAGAGACATGGAGCTGTTGGAGAGGGTCCAGAGAAGAGAAGATGATGGGAGAGCTGGAGCAGCTCTGCTCTGGAGCCAGGCTGAGGGAGTTGGGGTGTTGAGCCTGGAGAAGAGAAGGCTCCAGGGAGACCTTGGAGCAGCTTCCAGTGCCTGAAGGGGCTCCAGGAAAGCTGGGGAGGGGCTTTGGACATGGGCAGGGAGTGATAGGACAAGGGGGGATGGTTTTAAACTGAAAGAGGGGAGATTCAGGTTAGACAATTCTTCACCATGAGGGTAGAAGGGCACTGGAACAGGTTGCCCAGGGAGGTTGTTGATGCCCCCTCTCTGGAGGTGTTCAAGGGCAGGTTGGATGAGGCTTGTGCAGCCTGGGCTGGTGGGAGGGGTCCCTGCTCATGCTCATCATCCCTGATGATCTTTAAGGTCCCTTCCAACCTTCACCATTCCATGATTCTATGTTATCAAGGCCACCAGAAGTCCTTGGGGAAGCTAAACATCCACTCTGACTGAGCTACAGAGAAGCAGCATGAAACCACCCCAAGCACTTCTCTTACTCTTTAAAAGTCAGTGTAACCGAAACAAACGCTACAAATCCTGCCAGCCCTGACAATTGCACAGCAGTGTTGCCAGGATCCTGCTGTGTATTCCCAGCTTTTTGGGAGCCCTAGAAATCCAGCAAATGCACTTGCTGATTTCTAGCTCCATTTCACCACCACCATTGCCACCAGCTGAGGAAGCTATGTTGGTCAAGACTTCTCCTCGACCTAAGATGTCTCCAGGGATGCCACCCAGGAGAAAGCAGAGCTCAGACCAGGCTGCCCTCTGTGCTCTTGCTGGGGCCAGGGACAATGCCTGTCCCTCCAGGCACCAGGCATGTGGCTCCATCCCTGGCAAATCCACAGCCAGTAGGTGATTCACTGCCTGGGAGGAGAGCTGGGCATGAGGTGGAGGAGCAGCTTGGATGGTTTTTGGTGCCCCATCACAGCAGCATGACTGAATGCACTAGGGCACTCAGCTGGGCAGGCACTGGGTATACAAGGGAAAGGTTTTGCAAGCAGCTGTGCCTTAGGCACTAGTGTCTGTTGCTGGCACCAGGACTTGTACCTCTCCCTGGGCACGGGCACACTGGTGGTAGGGAACCAGCCATTTCAGGGGAGGAGCAAGGAGCCCAGGCTGCAGCAGCAGAGCTGGGGGAGGTGGGACAACCCTGGGGCACCCTTGGCAGGCAGTAGGTCTCCAGCACTCACCTTGGAAGTAGACACCGGAGCAAATCCTGAGGATGCGGGGCAGGGTGGTGGGGTCCAGGGAGCAGATGTATTCCTGGAAGGAGAGGGGCTCCATGGCTGTGCTGCCCGGTGCTCAGGGGCACTCTGCAGAGTGGGAAACAGCTCTGAGCTCAGCTTTCACTTCTGTTTGTCTTTCACTTCTGCTTCTAGCAGTGGTGAGTTCCCTCCCTGGCAACAGGCCCACACCACAGGCAGCTCTCCAGCCCACACAGACTGGCCAACCTGCTCCTGGGACCATCCTCTTCCTGGCATCCATCACAGCCTGGAATCCATCACAGCCTGGGATCCATCACAGACTGGGATCCATCACAGACTGGGATCCATCACAGCCTGGAACCCTCCACTCCTTCCCTGCTCTTGGACAGAGGGATGGAGCCCCAGCTCTGCCACTGTGCAGTCTTGGCTGGGCTGATGCTCCAGCCTGTCCTACTCAGGCTGCCCACGCTGAACTTATTTCCTGTACCAGCCTGTGTTGCCACCCTGCAGCAGGGCCATCCAGAGCCAGGGAGAAGAGGACAGGTCTGGGTGGACCATGCCAAAGGAAGTGATGGGCTGTGTCCTGACAGCCATCACCAATATACACACCTCCATCCTGCTCATCTCTGGGCTGTAACACCCCACTTGTCTGCCCTGCACACCCCATGTATCACACCCTGGCTGCATCCAGCCCATGGAGGAGCAGGAGTCAGCAGAGCTGGACGGTGTGATTGGTGGCAGCACCAGCCATGGGAAAGGCAGAGCAAATTCCCATGGCTCCACGTCAGGCAGTGACACTTGTGTCCCTCTCCTGCAGAAACTAGCCCTGTCCCTCCCTTCCAGCCCCGCAGGCTGCTGTGCTTCAGTGTTGTAATGGTTTCCCTTCAATTTGTGCTGTGACTCAAACGAAATTGCAGGCTGGGATGGGACTTCATGTAGAAATGAAACTTGAAGAATAGATGATTCTAAAAAAAAAAAAAAAAGGTCTTTCTACTTTGATTTCTGCTGCAGGAGTCAGCTACACTTCCTGTGTTTTCTGTTGCTGAGTGCAAGACGAAGCAATCTGAGGGGCAGGGAGTGCTGGCACATCAAGATTTCCCGTGTGCAGGGCAGCTCCAGGGGCATGTGGGCAGTAGGGATGTCTAGAGAACTTCAGGCCAAACTGATACTTGGAGCTGGACTATTCTTGGCACCAGAGCAAGTCTTGACCACCTACAAGGTTGGAGCCCTTCCACCCCTCTGGTGACCTGTTGAAGGGCTGCACTACCCTCCCAGAGATGTTTTCCTAGTGCCCTCCCTGTCTCTGTCTTCCCTGCAGGGAAGAACTTGGCTCCATTATCAGCAGTACTGGCCTTCAAGCAGTTGCAGGGTGCTATTGGATCACCCTTCTCCTCCTCTTCACCAGACAAAGCCAGCTGAGCTCTCATAAACACTCCTTGGTTGTGTACCCAGCCCCATGAGCATCTTGGTTGCCCTTTGGTGGCCTGTCTCCCACATTCCTCTGGTTGGAATTCCTCTGCCCCTGGTTTGTGCTGTTCACAGCAAGAGCACAGGCTTGGTGTTAAACATTTAGGACAGGATGAAGGGGGAAAGATCTGGCAGCTGCCATGTACCAGCCTGCTCTGCCCCAGCAGGATGGGCTGTCTGAAGTGAGCTGAGCCAGGTGGGCTCAGCATCACTGCAGAAAGTGCCCAGGTGCTGAGCCAGTGCTGATGGGACATGGCAAGATCTAGAGCTGGTCAGTGGTGCTGTCAATTATTAATTAAGTAAATTTCTGGGGAAAAAAAAAAAATCACATTAGGGAAAAAAAAATAATCACAAAAGAGAACATAAGGGAGACACAGAATAAAAACAAGGCCTAGATAGCAGTGAAGCAGTGAGAATGAGACAAAACCAGATTCCAATTAGAGAAAAACACCCCCCAATAGTCACCAGCCCTTGAGACAGGCCTGCAGGACAGATGGAAGGGGTGGACAGGAGCTCTGCCCACAGCTTGGCCTGGGGACAGCCTGGAGCACTGGGGAAAACCACACTAAGTAATGGAAATCACTGTATGAATCTATTAAAGAGCCATTAGCAGACTGAAATCCACACCCAACGGTGTGGAACCCAACGGCCAGGGGTTAGTGACCCATCGTGTGCAGTGACAGAACAAAGCTAGAGATCAAGTTATTTCTCATGTTTTGGGTATAAAAGTAGCAACTGTGTTTCAGGAGCTGAGCAGGCTGTGTGGAACACCCCCTGCTCCCTGCAGAACTGGGCATTACAGCAGATCTCTGGGCTCTGTGTGAATTGGCTCCTTGCACAGTGAGTGATGGACCCGCTGTTGCGACAGCAGTGACACACGAGCCCAGGTGACCTGTGCGCCATCAGCTTTATCAGCATGAAGATGGAATGGGACACAGTGCCTGGGAGAAGTATCCTCTGTACCAATAGTTGGGAAGAAAAGTGTAGTTTACTGTATCAGTGTCAAAAATCCCAGAAAGGCAGGACCCAACTAACCAGGGGAGCTCAGGAAACTCTCAATATGGTCTAGAGGAGCCACCAAGTCTGCAGAGCTTGTCCCTCTGAGGGTTTTTTGCTCATCCAAGGCAGAGTTCAGGGAGAAGATGAACTGATGTACTGCTCTAGAAACCACAGGGTAAGTGAAAGAGCCAAGAGCAAAGGTCTCTGCACACCAAGTATTTAACCCTCCATTTCCAAACACGCCCCAAGGAGCCAGCCATGTACCTGGACAGTCCAGAACCCCAGTGGAGTTTTGCTGAGACCTTTGTTTGCAGCTGCAGGAAGAGAATAGGGGCGTCCCCTGCTGATGTCTAGTTCAAAACAGAAGAGGCTGGGCACAGCTACCCCTGCACACCTCTGTTCTGCTGCCAGTCTGGGAAAAAGGGGAGCGGGTCAGGGAACAGAAGGAATTAGTTTGAAAACCAGTCATACGAAAATATGTCTAAAAATAAAAGGTCACTTCAGGAACCAGAAACAGAGTGGCTTAAACTGGACAGCTCAGCAACCAAAGTTCAACATGTAACAACTGGTTGTGGCTAGAGAAGGTACCAAAGACCATCTGCTCTTTGCTGAGGTTTCATCCCAGGTACAAGCAATAACACAACACCCAGCAGAGCTGGCACTGAGGAGGGACCCAGTGCTAGAGCAGCTCCCTGGAGCTCTGCTCCTTGACATGCTGCTGGGCACTGCCAGTCCAGCAGCCCCTTATTCCCAGGGCAGGTGAGAGGTGCAGGGAAAGATGCTGATACCCCAGCTGCAGAGGGTGGCTGTGACAGGGCAGCTTAGGACCCAGTGTGCAAATCTCCCTGGGAAATCTAGAAAAATAAAAGTGGCCATGGAGGCATCAAAGCCCTTGATACGGATACAATGAGCATGGCCACAAGCAGCAACCATGGCCAGCTCAAAAGTCTGAAGGCTCCTGCCTGAAATAGATTTCCAGGAGCAGGTCTCTGGGCTGCTAAGCTCCAGCAGCAGAGCCAAGGCTTAGCCATGGTGAGCCAGAGCCAAAGAGGAAGCAGGATCTCTTTGGGGATGGGGATGAGTTCCAAGGAAAAGGGAGTGAGGAGAAGCAGAGACATGTTCCAGACAGCTCACTATGTGTCACAGGGCTGAGCAGCTCTCTCAAGTGCTGGCTGCCCTTTTCTGGCAGCTTAGCCTTGAGCCTGATTTCATCAGATGGGTGAAGGAGGTTGTTGCTTTGCAGCTACCCAGAAGCTTGTGCAGCAGACTGTGAGGTTTGGGATGGCTTTGGGAACAACAGAACAGTTGCAGGAGGAAAAGGCAGCAAACCCCTCAGGGCTCCATCTGCTCAACCCAAACACAGCCAAAGTGATCCTGCCCAGCAGGTGCCCCCTTCAGATGGGTCCTGTACAACAGCAGCACAGCACAGAGGTGCTCCAACTCAGCAGCACATGCAGCAGGAAGGCCTAGAAAGAGGGAACATCACTAGCTGAGGGTCCTGATGGCATTGCAGGGTCACATCCAGCACCTTGATGATATTGTCCATGCTTGTCTGTTGGAGCTGACAGGTGCTTCCCTGCCACTCACTGCCCAGCTCTGTGCTCAGGCTAACCCAGCACCATCCCGCACTGCTCTAGTCAGGGCATTATTCTCTCTGAGGTCAGTGCCTGGTACAGGACCCAGCCCAGGTTACGTATCTCTGCAAAGGCGACCTCTCCTCTTACTTCAAGCAACAATATTCCACCATGCAGCACAGCACAGGGTGATGGGTGAACCAGGACTCAAGAGCTGTTTTGCTTCTCACCCTGCTGAGGCTCCAGCAAGAGTGAGGAGGATGAACAGTAGCAGGGGACTTGTATCAGAAAGTTGCCACTTTCTGCCTCATGCAGCGAATCAAGAAACAATGCAATTGCTTTTTTCACCTCCAGTTGTGCATTTGCTTGAGCAGAGCAGAACACACCCAATGTTAACATCATGGACAAACAGAAGAGAAAAATCTCTTGGAAATAGTTTGTAGAAATTCAAATGCTGAACTAGGTGTGAGTACCAGTACTGACTGAGATTCCGTTCAGCAGCTGCACAGCCTGCATCTTAGCACAACTAGTGGTATTCTGCGTATTGAGTAACTGAGATAAAGTTGTCAAGAGATAACAAGAAAAAACAGAACCTCTCTTTACAAATGGGCCCAGTAAAGAAAAACTGCTGGCTAGCAACTGCCACCGACAGAGGGTCATTATCAGTCCCTCACAGCTGCCTCCTGCAAAACCTGAGCTGGTGTCAGGAGCCGATGCCAGGGGGGCCATCAGCTGTTGGGATGTGGGACACGAGGTGCTCTGCCCTCATGGACACCCCCTGCCAGCATGGGGTACCCTTCTGCCCTGCACACAGGGCTGTCAGCTGCCCTGCTACTCCCAAAGTCCCCAGAGGAGATGCTCAGGGAAACAGCACTAAGTTCTGTGGTGTTCCCACTGCTCAGGTGACAGCTGGCGGATAGAGCTACTGGGAAAAACACCACTGGTTTCCTATTCCCACCCACAGGGTACCATTCCAGACACACTACATCATGTATTTAATTACCATTTATTTCTAGTCTTCAGACTTCTCACCTGACAT